ATCTCCACCTCTTCAATCTTCCTCTTTCGCTTTCGTGTAGCTGCTTGGCTGCCGTGTTATCCAGATGGGATTTTCACAAGCTTGGCTTGACCAATGAGTTTAGTCATGACTTAATTGTTTGCATGCATGGATCATTGGATATCCACCTGGCTGCGAAGTTACCACCTGTTGTGCATCGCCACTCTGGCTCAGGTGTACGCAGTTCCAAGCCACACAGCTTGACCTGAACCTGAATTGGAACCAGAACCTGCTCATCGCGAGACAGCTCGGTAATAGAGACTTACTAGGTATAAAAACCATAATCCTCCTAGAAATCTAGTGTATGCCTAGTTTCAGACCTCTCTTTTATTTTATCCTGCCCGTGACGGTACTATTAGCATCTTTCCTACTTACACAGCTATACCCCTCCCTACTTTCGAACCACGTCTCATCCAATCTCCTAACAGCTCCCCATCGTCTTATTTCAGATTACTTCACATCCCCGCCAAAAATAGAGAAAGAAGTAGAAACACAAACACATACACAAACACATATACATACACAAACAAAAATGGGAGGTGGACCAGAACAATTCCGCACGGTAGCCTACTTCGTCAACTGGGCCATCTACGGCCGCAAGCACAGACCGCAGGACCTGCCCGTCGACAAGCTAACCCACATACTATACGCCTTCGCCAACGTGCGCCCCGAATCCGGCGAGGTCTACCTCACCGACACCTGGGCCGACACGGACATCCACTGGGAGGGCGACAGCTGGAACGATGTCGGCACCAACTTGTACGGGTGCTTGAAACAGCTCAACCTTCTCAAGCGGCGGAACCGGAATCTCAAAGTGCTGCTCTCCGTGGGCGGGTGGACGTACAGCAGCAACTTCAAGCAGCCAGCTTCTACGCCACAAGGCCGAGCCAACTTCGCTAACTCCTGCGTCGAGCTGATCAAGAACCTCGGCTTCGACGGCATCGACGTGGACTGGGAGTATCCGCAAAACCCCTCCGAAGCCTCGGACTTCGTCGCCCTGCTACACGCCGTGCGCGAAGCCATGGATAACTACAGCCGCACCTTACCCGCACCATACCACTTCGAGCTAACCGTAGCCTGCCCCGCCGGCGCGCAGAACTACAGCAAGCTGGACATCGCAGGCATGGACCGGCTTCTCGACTTCTGGAACCTGATGGCGTACGACTTCGCGGGGTCCTGGGACTCCACGTCAGGGCACCAAGCGAACCTGTTCCCTAGCCATTCCAACCCGCGCTCCACACCCTTCAGCACCGTCGGCGCGGTTGACTACTACATATCCCGAGGTGTCCATCCCTCGAAGATCGTTCTCGGCATGCCCTTATACGGACGCGCGTTTCAGGGCACCGACGGCCCGGGAGCCCCGTACTCGGGCGTCGGCGAGGGCACGTGGGAGAACGGAGTCCACGACTACAAGAAACTGCCTCTGCCTGGAGCGACCGAGCATATCGACCGCGAGGCCGGGGCCAGCTACTGCTACGCCCCGGCGACGCGGACGCTAGTCAGCTACGACACTGTGGATATGGCACGGCGCAAAGCCTACTACGTGAGGCAGGAGCGCCGGCTTGGTGGGGCCATGTGGTGGGAGAGCAGCGCTGATAAGGAGGGCGGCCAGAGCTTGATTGCGAATGTGGTCGATGCGTTTGGTGGGCCTTATTCGCTCGATCGCACGCCGAATTGTATCACGTATCCGCATACCAAGTATGAGAACTTGCGGGCTGGGTTTCCTAACAACTAGGATTGGCGTGGCAACGGGCATGACAATGGAATTGGGTTTTAAGGGGATCGAGGGTAGATTGGTTAACGGCTGATGCTGGATGGGACTCATGAAATAGATCTTCTAGAAAGGGTAAAAAGGTTTTACGAATGCATCCTTGGAAGATAGCTATTGGTGAGATGCTGTAGATATTGAGCTACAGATGCACTCAACCAGTGATGAAAATGAAAAAATATTACCAGTAACCTAGTTCGGATCCGCAAAGTCGTTGGAGAGATCACCTGTGAAGGTGGACAAATAGATAAACTCCTCGTAGACGCACTCTTGTTCCGCAGCTCTTCTTCTCACCTAACATTGCCGTAGATTATAGGGCATAAGGATTACTCTTATCACACAGAGTAACTACGGCAGGCCCTAGTATTGAAATTCGGGAGAACACACAATGAATCACACATGATAAAATTGCAATGAGGTTTTTTTACGACGTTTATTCATCTGAACCGAGCCATGTCATCTATGTCCTATCATGATAACACCGTGAACCCCGTTCCCATGTTCCAACCCAAAAGCCCATTTTACTCGTAGAATCGATTCAAGAGGCGTTTACTGCTTGTCGAAAACATAGGTGAGGTGGCATCGGCCACAGTATTGTCGGTCTTGCATGGCGGCCATGAAGACACCAGCACCGCACTATTGGCATCGTGTTAGCATCGTTGACATTAGTTGAAGAGGACGGTCGGAATAAAAACTTACAGTGTCGGCGGGGCACTCGCGGCGGAGACGCTCGATCTTGCCATCGCCGTCGACCTTGTAGTACTTGAGAACAGCTAACTTGGTCTTCTTGCGCTTGTGCTTAATCTTCTTGGGGGTGGTGTACACCTTCTTCTTGCGCTTCTTGGCACCACCACGTAGGCGGAGCACAAGGTGAAGAGTGCTCTCCTTCTGGATGTTGTAGTCGGAGAGAGTTCGTCCATCCTCGAGCTGCTTTCCGGCGAAGATCAATCGCTGCTGGTCAGGGGGGATTCCCTCCTTGTCCTGAATCTTGGACTTGACATTGTCGATAGTGTCGGAAGACTCCACCTCAAGGGTGATAGTCTTACCCGTGAGGGTTTTGACGAAGATCTGCATGTTGCCTGTTGAACCATTGTTAGATATTTGTGCATCGAAGTTGTACTCGATGAGGATAATCGAGTGAATGCTGCTGTGTTATAATGTGGTGTAGTATGATGTAGTGGGAAGGCGATCCTGTGAATATTTGCGCTGGGTGCAAGACGGTGCAAGATGCGCCTCAGCATCGCGAATCGATGAATATTGCGATCGCATGCAAACCACAGAATGCCATGATAAGTGAAAGGCGAGGGAAGATGCTGGGGGTGTGTTTGAGGGCATTCTGGTGGATGGTTGACGTACCTAGACAATATTGCTATTGCCGTCCTAAGCACCACGAAGATAGAAATTGGTTTGTGGAAGGGAAAGAAAAAAGTTCGAGGTGGGAGGAGCCTCAAGAGTGTGATAAGGTACGGGTATGCTGTAGTGTGGTGGGTCCTGGAAAAACTCAGGTAAATCAGTGCTGATTGTCAGATAATCAATCACGTGCTAGGGTTTCTCTATGCGCTTAACCCTGTGGCAATGGATCTTGCGTAGATTTTACGCCAAGTGCTTGGTACGGCTTGCACCCACCTGATTCAAGTTGTTTTCTTATTGGTTCGTTCAATTTCCTATGCTAGTGTTAGTGGGGCAACTTTAGACATTTCTGACCAGCCAAAACTTTGCCCACCAAAATTCAACATTAGATTCCAAATCACGAACCATTTTCTTTTCCTTCTACAACCAACTTCCATCAACCACAATTTGTACGTCCAACCCTCTCCCCACCCGCCAGACAAGCCAGACAAAATTATCGATTGTTCAAATAATTCAAGGACTTGCATCGCATATCTAACATTGTTCTAAATAGAACACCGTCACCATGGTCAAGAAGAGAAAGAACAACGGCCGCAACAAGAAGGGCCGCGGCCACACCAAGCCTATCCGCTGCAGCAACTGCTCGCGATGCACTCCCAAGGATAAGGCAATCAAGCGCTTTACCATCCGCAACATGGTCGAATCTGCAGCTATCCGTACGTTCTGATTGTTCCAGCAATTCCTGACCTTCTTCTACTACACTATACTATTATACTATTATAGACATAACACGAATATATGACATGGCACATGAATTCAAAGCTAACAGACTAAATCACAGGTGATATCTCGGATGCCTCCGTGTTCTCCGAGTACACGGTTCCCAAGATGTACCTCAAGCTGCAGTACTGTGTCTCTTGCGCTATCCACGGCAAGATTGTCCGGTACGTCCTCCCGTCGGGAGTTTGACTACGCGCTCTTTAGGGCTGCGTATGCGCCTGAGAAGAGCCTTGGCCGAACCTCGAAGCGATATATCTTTATATATATCGCTCCTCCCCCACCCCTACCGCTCGAACGAACACAATCCGCTAACAATCATGTTTCTAGTGTCCGATCGCGCGAGGGTCGCCGCAACCGAGCTCCCCCCCCTCGTGTGCGTTACAACAAGGATGGCAAGAAGGTGACTCCCACCCAGACTGCCAAGGTTGCCTAAATGGTTTCTTTACGGTGTCTCGGGGAATGAACGAACAGGGTCTGGGATGAATCAGGTCATCGGAAATGGTTTCGCTTTGCATGAAAAACGGTTTTCGGAATAATTTTCCAGATAATGACTTCTATGAATGAATAGTCATATTGCCATGATGAGCAATCTTTTGTTTTCTTGCCATGCATTTTATGTGATTCGACTCAAGTGTCTGTTAATTTCCACGGCGTACGTTGGAAGCGTTGGAAGTTCGATTTGCCTCAGATCATTCAGTTGTGTGGAATCCAGGTCGCCTAACACGCTGCCCACAATTCCAAATTCGCCTCCCAGGCTATCCAGTTGAGCGCAATCTAAAATTGGATAATATGAGATGCACACTATTCTAGCATTACCAAAGAAAAAGAGATGCGTCGAAATCCACGTAAAGCCCTGCTATATGAGCTCTTACTCTATTCAATACCTAGTATTGGAATGGTTAAACGTTAAACTGTAGAAGGGTGTACCCAGGTCCCAGGTCCGAAGCACCCACGTAGTTTCCCGACGCCTACCAATTTTTCAGTCGCACTTTCCAATCGTCCAGAAAAAAAGAAAACAGCATAAAATATCACAACTAACCCCCTTTTACTAACTAACTCATCAGCAATATAAAAGGCAAAAGATTGGACACGCGGGGAATTGAACCCCGGACCTTCAGCATACCACTGTGTGATCAGTATTCAAGATGATTACTATGAGTTATAGGTCATTTCTATACCAAGATCAGTGCGAAGCAGACGTCATACCCCTAGACCACGTGCCCTGAAGGATGGTAAAGCGTTGTGTATAGTAAGCTTATAAACTAATAGCCTGTTTTTTTATGTCCGGTTACGGGGATGGCCGAGTTTGTAAGCTGAGAGCGAGAAGATATGGAGGGGGAGGCAGTGTGGATCGGATTTGGGTACTGTATAATCTGGAGGTCGAATACTAGGTATGTACGGATCTGTTTGTTCTTAACCTTCTCTCAAATGAAAGGTACCCATTCAATTCAACTTAGTTTTTGATCTTCTTGTATGATTTTATTTACCTCGACTCAAAACTGCTTGTGGTTTGCTCAAATATGTCCTAGAGATAGAATAGGTAGAAATACACTGTGCGCCATGAAATCTTGAGAAGCCGGGCATTACCTACGTAGAGGGCAATGGTAACATAGCTTCTCTTAGAATGGAATCCTACGATGGCGCTGAATACACGTTCAATATACTTATGGTTAATCAAAACATATATTCATTCAAGACAGACCTCGTTTAGGTCCACCTTTGGATATTCATTCGTTTTCATTACACGCCTCCATGACCGACCAGGCGTCAATTCATTCCCCGCCCCAATCATCGCAGCCCGTTCGTTTCAATCATTATATAAATACCAAGCTCGTAACTGGAATTCGTCCTTCGTCTTCGTCATCACAAGCCCACCGTCTGGCCTCCGTTGTGGTGCCTTGGTATGCTGCGGGTGATAAAGTCGCGGTTCTCGATTGTCACGCTCTTGGTCATGTGGTTGACCTTGTAAACACCAACCAGCCGAGCAGCGAGCTCGAACATGTTATTTCGTAGAGATATGACGACGAATTGGGCGTTCTTGGTCCGCTCCTTGATGTAGTTCGCCACAATGGACACCTAAGCATAATGTTATTAGCAACCTATGAGACAGAGTTGTTGCAATATGCAATGTGGGGGATGGGGAGAATACTCACATTTCGGAAATCCAGGGCAGCGTCGATTTCGTCCATGACGTATAACGGTGTTGGCTTATAGTGGTGCAGAGCAAATACTAGCGCAAGACTAGACAACGTCTTCTCGCCACCACTGAGATTGCTGATATTTTTCCAACTCTTCTTGGGCGGCATGACGGAAAAGAGGATACCCTCGCTGAAGGGATCCAGGCTATCGACGAGTTCTAACTCAGCATTTCCACCCATCGTGATCATCTGGTACATCTCCTTCAGTCGGAGAGAAATGGTGCTGAAGCCTTCCATGAATCCCTCTAACCTGAGGCGTCGCAGGTCATCGCATCGCTTCTTGGCAGCATCGCGTTGTTGAACAGCGCTTGCTAGGTCGGATGAACGAGCTGCATGTTCTTCAACTCTGCGCCGGTACTCTGATAAGACACTGACGTCAACGTTGACATTCTGCGTCTTCTCCTCGAGAGCAGCGATCTCGGCCTTCAGCGTATCCTTGTCCATATCCTTTAATTCATCTTCAGTAAACCGCGGGAGCTCCTCAGGCTGCTGCACTTGTTCTTGTTCCTGTTCCTGTTGTTCTTCCTCTTGGTTTTCGGTAGGCTCTTCTTGGCCTTCTTCTTGGCCTTCCGTTTGGGCCAGTTTCTTAGCTGGTGGTGGGCCGCTAAGATCGCTGACATTCTGGAGCACGAGCTTGTTGAGTTTCTCGTCCCAATAGCGTAGGCGCTTCTGGTTCTCGACGAGTACTTTTTGATTTTCTTCGAGCTTGTTACGCATCTCAATCTCGACCGCCCGGGTCTCATTGAGTTCTGATGTCTTCTCATCCAGTTCTGCCTTCAGCGTAGACAATTCCTTTTTCTTGTCGGCGAGTTCCGCCTCAGCCTCCTCGACACGGGCATTTAAGGATTCAGATTTGCTACCTTGGTTCTCAACCTCTTCCTCGAGTTTTTCGAGGTCGCGCACGGCGGTCTCTAATTCCCTAGTAGCCTTGGCGTGATCTTTCTCGAGTTTCGTCTTGGACTTCTCTGCCTTCGCCTTCTTCACTTCAGCGTTGGACATCTCCTCGTTGTTAGATGATATTTCCTCCTTGATGGCATCGACCTTAGCACGTTGAGCACGGAGCTTCTCACCGCCAATCTCCATAATCTTATCTTGCAATTCCTTAATTTCCGCCTCCACGCCTTCGGTTTCGGCATGAAGCTTGGTTACCTCCTTATTCAGCTTGGAAATTTCCTTCTGTAGCGCGGCCACTCTGTTATCGTCAGTCTGTGATGGTTGGTGTTCCTTGCTCAGCTCCTTGACACGTCGCTGGGCATCCGCGAGATTTTTCTCGGCGCTCTGCACCTCGAGGCCGATCTTTTGCATCTTGGTGTCGAGTTGAGGAATCTGGTCCTTCAAATATCTAAGACGTGACTCGAGCTCCCGCTGGTGATCCTGAAATTCTTGGAATTTCGCCTCAATATCGTCACGAGCGCTTTCAAGTTTGGCGACTTGCTCCTTAGACGTGTCGGCCACGAGTTTGCTCGACATTAAACCTCTCTTGACAGTGCTTCCTCCTCCAGACATAGTACCACTCTTGTCGATAAGCTCTCCATCAAGTGTGACTACTCGCCATCTTTTGGCGCCGTAAGCGATTCGGTTCGCCTGGGCTAGGTCTTTCGCGACTAGAGTATCATTAAGCGCGTGATAGAAAGCAGGCCTGAATTTGTCTTCCTTAGCTCTGATCAGGTCGAACAGGCGTGGAGCATTTTCGGGAGTCTGGATGGGTTGCAAACTGCGTTTGCTAAGCTTGTCCAAACACATGAAATTGCCTCTTCCAAGGTTAGTCTTTCGAAGATATTCTATGCATTGCTGACCAGCTTCTACCGTATCGGTAACGAAATGGTCGAGGGAAGGACAAGCCGTGGAAATCGCAACATCATATTTCTCATCGATAGTACCGAGGTTGCCAAGGCGACCGTGGAACCCGTCGATTCGTCCAGATTCTTTCATCCGCATCAATGCTGTAAGTACGTTGCCTCGATTCTGATTCTGAGAGAGATTGGATCTTGCCTCCTCTGCCTTTTGTCTAGCATTTGATACTTTGGAACGAACGTTTGGCTCCATCTGAGCCAAGCTTTCGAGATCAGCCTCAATTTTCTTAGCTTCCTTCTCTAGTTTCGCTTTCTCGGCTTGACACTCCTTCAGTTCAGCGAGCTTGGCCGTACGACCTTCTTCGATGTTGGCGATCTTGGTCTGCATCTCCTCGAGGGCAACGGCGCCCGCATTGGCCTTCTCCTTGAGGATAGCCATCTCAGACTCGGCAACAGCAATAGCAGATTGCTTCTGGTTGATCTTCTCTTTCCAGGGCTCGAGGGATTTCTGCTTAACGGCGATTTGGTCAGAAAACACTTGCGTTTTCCCCTTGAGGCTGTCTCGTATCTTCGCAAGTTCGGCTTCTTCTTTTAGCACACGCTGTTCAAGAGCTGTGATCTCTTCAGAACGTGAGGCAATCTCCTCGGTGCACTGCTCAATAGTTTCCTCGGCTTCAGCTGTCAAGTTTTCGGCATTGGTAATCGTCTTTTCAAGCTTTTTCTGTTTGTCAGTCAAGAATTTCCGTTTCTCATCAAACTTCACCCTCTCTTGCTCGAACTTGGCGGCTTCCTTGACGAGGCCCTGGACATGCTTTTCTTGCGATTCAAATTCTTTGGAACCCTTAGCGTAGGCTTTTTGTAGCTGCTTTATGACCTGTTCGCTGCCTTGGTGCTTCTCAAGCTCGTCATCAAGTTGAGCTTGCATCTGATTAATTGCTTCCTCAGTGACGCTCACGTTGTTGTTACATTCGCTGATGTAGAGCTGGTAGAGCGCTGACTGCTTCAAAGTCAAATCATTTTCGTCCCGAATATAGGCCAGGGCTTTATTCTTCTTATCTTCGAGGCTGTTCTTCTCCTTTTCTACGTGTTGGACACGTCCGCTCTTCTCCATGCAGATTTCATTGAGGGTTTCGACCTCGGTTGCAGCCTCTTCGATAGGAGTCTTATACTTAGATGTACCAATAATATCTTCAAGATACTCTAGTAAACCATCCTCGTGTTCGTTCGCAGCCTTAGGTTTCATCTGAGCAATCGATTCGACTTCACCCTGGAGAATGAGGAAACGCTTATGGTCAAGATCGATCCCCCGGTCCCGGAGGAGGGTTGTAACCGTGGTAAAGTTGGACTCGGCACCATTGATGTAGTATTTGCTCGAATTGTTCTTGAAGGCTTTTCTCGATATGATGATCTGCGAGTTGGGGATCACTTCCGTTCCACCTCCAGGCAAGTCCATAACCTCCTGGAAGTGTACTGCTACCTCACAATGATCGAGATTTGGGTAAGCGGCAGAATTGTGGATCAAAGCTGAGATTTTGCCCTGTCGCATCTTACTAGCTCTGAATCCAAAGACGAAAAGAAGCGAATCGATGACATTCGATTTTCCGGAACCGTTGGGTCCAACTACCGAGGAGAAGGAAGAGTGGAAGGGACCAACTTCTTGTCGCCCAGCGTAACTCTTGAAGTTGTTTAAGATCAAATATGTAATGACGATGCGAGCCTTGGGCCCCGTCTCTTCGACTACCGGCATTGCCATCTTGCGCGACTTCAGGACAATATCCATAGGCCTCTCCAGGATGGTATCCATTGGCCGAATAGGTTTCACCTGAGTGATGGTCTCATCTGGGGACTCTTGTTGCTCGTTGATGCTCTGGCTGGTGATATCAGCTAATGGTGTACCGTGGAGCTCAGAGGGTTCTTCAGATTGAGCGGGTGTGGGCATATGAGGTTGGCTATCGTGTTGGCTATCGGGCTGGCTCTCGGGAGTAGCCTCTTTGCTAGGTTGGCGCGGCGCAACGCTCTTCCGCTTCCTAGGAGCGGGCTTTTTCACCGTTGAATCCGGGCTTAGGATAGAAGCAGCAGCGGTCTGATCCGGATCCACGATCTCGCTAGATTCAAGGGGGGTTTGAGGAGCGACGCTCTTTCGTGAACGGTTTGCGCGGGGTGTTGCCGGTGCTGTGGACTTCCTTTTGCTTTGTGTTTGGCGACGCGAAGCTTTGGCGGTCGAAGTCTCGG